CATCGAGCAGACCTTCACGCTTCCGGACTCCCCACAGCAGAATGGGGTTGCTGAGCGTCGCATTGGCCTGGTCATGGAGGTCGCTCGTACCTCCTTGGTCCACGCGGCGGCTCCCCATTTTCTGTGGCCGTTTGCTGTCCGGTACGCCGCGCATCAGCTCAACCTCTGGCCCCGTGTCTCCTTGCCGGAGACCTCGCCCACACTGCGTTGGACGGGGGAGGTTGGCGATGCGTCGCGCTTCCGGGTGTGGGGTGCTCGTGCCCTTGTCCGCGATACGTCCGCGGACAAGCTCTCCTCCCGCACGCTTCCCTGTGTCTTCCTTGGCTTTGTCCCTGACGCGCCTGGTTGGCAGTTTTACCACCCCACCTCGCGCCGGGTCTTCGCCTCTCAGGATGTCACCTTTGACGAGTCGGTCCCTTTTTACCGTCTCTTCCCCTACCGCACTGCCCCCCTCCCTCCCCCGCCGCTTTTCCTTGCTCCTGGTCCCCCTCCGGTAGACCCCCTTCCCCCTCAGGGTCCTGCTCCTTCAGGTGTCTCTCAGGTAGACCCTCCTCCCGTCGCTGAGCCTGTCGAGGTCACAGGTGACTCAGGTGCTGCTGCGGGTGGTGCTGCTGGGAGTGCTGAGCCTGGGGGTGCTGGGCCTGGGGGTGCTGGGGCTGCAGGTGCTGGGACTGAGGGTGCTGGAGCTGAGGGTACGGTGCCTGAGAGTACGGAGCCTGGGGGTGCTGCGCCTGGGGGTGCTGCGACTGGGGGTGCTGAGCCTGCGGGTACTGAGCCTGCGGGTACTGAGCCTGGGGGTGCTGCTACTGAGCCTACGGAGCCTCGGGTTACTGTGTCTGGGGGTGCTCCGGTTCGGGGTGCTGAGCAGTCTCTCACACCACAGCAGCTTCGTGACTGGTACGTCCGACGCTTTCGCCGTCCTAGTGGCTCGGCTGGAGTTGGGGGTGCTGGAGTTGCTCGTCCTGGGGGTGCTCGTACTGGGGGTACTGGAGCTGCCGGGACTGGCTGTTCTGGGAGCACTGCGACTGGAGCTGCTGGAGCTGGGGACTCTGGCGTTGGCGGTGCTAGCGGAGTTGGAGCTCCCGACTCTGGGGGTGGCGCTGCTGCTGGTGCTGCGGACCCACCTGGTGGAGCTGCTGCTGGTACTGAGGAGTCGGCCGGTGGAGCTGCTGCTGGTGCTGTGGACCCGGACGTTGGAGCTCCTACTGGTGCTGAGGACCCGGCCGCTGGAGTCCCTTCTGCTTCTGGAGACGCTGCGCGGCCGCGACCGTACTTCGTACCGCTCCTTCAGCAGGTTCTTGGGCAGGCTCCTCCTCCTTGTCCTCCTCCCTCCGTAGAGTGTCCTCCGCCTGTCCAGCCGCAGTCACAGTTACCGCCTGCCTCGCCTCTCCCTGCTCCCTCTCCTTACGCTGGTCCCACAGGAGGTCTTACAGAGCGTCGTGAGCCTGAGTCTCGTCCTGCGTCGCCTGTTCGTCCTGCTCGCGCTGGTAGTCGTGTCCGTCGTGAGCGTCCTCCTCCTGTCCCAGGCACTCACTACATGACTCTGCGTCCCTCCACTGCTCCTCAGCGTGTCCCGCTACCGTCTCCTCCTGCGTCCTCTTTGCCTGCCGTTCCGGACCCTGAGTCTGACCGGTATCGCGCTGAGCACCCTACAGTCACGCGTCTCCTTGCTACTGTTGTCACTGACCCCACCTTTGAGTCCTCGGCTGCGTCTGCTCTGGTCGCTGAGTTGGTTGACTTTGCTGCTGCCTGTCGTCTAGACTACGCTGCTAGCCTTGTCGCTGAGTCAGAGTCTGCGTCTGTCTGTCCTCCGTCCGTCGGGGGTGAGTGTGCTCTTGGCACGGACGTCCTTGAGGACAGGCAGGAGGACTTTGACTCACTTGCGGCTGCTGTACCTCATCTCGTGGCCTGGTTGCTTGCCCCTGAGGGAGACCCGGATGCACTAGACATCCCCACTCCGCGCACCTACGCAGAGGCGATCTCGGGTCCCTACTCCTCTCAGTGGCAGACAGCCATGGACGCACAGATGGCATCCTGGAAGTCCACAGGCACCTACGTCGACGAGGTTCCCCCTCCTGGGGCGAACATCGTCGATGGCATGTGGATTTTCAGGGTGAAGCGGCCGCCAGGTTCTCCGCCTGTCTTCAAGGCTCGTTACGTTGCTAGAGGCTTCAGTCAGCGTCAGGGGGTCGACTTCTTCCAGACCTTCTCCCCCACCCCGAAGATGACCACTCTTCGGGTTCTGCTGCACGTTGCTGCTCAGCGTGACTACGAGCTTCACTCTCTTGACTTCAGCACAGCGTTCCTGCAGGGCAGCCTGCACGAGGAGATCTGGCTGCGCCGCCCACCTGGCTTTACTGGGTCGTTTCCCCCTGGTACCCAGTGGAGTCTCCGCCGGCCAGTCTACGGTCTCCGCCAGGCGCCACGTGAGTGGCACGACACACTGAGGACTACTCTTGCGGCTCTTGGGTTCGCGCCGTCTACTGCTGACCCGTCGCTGTTTCTGCGCACAGACACGTCGCTGCCGCCGTTCTACATCCTTGTGTACGTCGACGACTTGGTCTTTGCTACTGCTGACACTGAGGCACTCGCTCGTGTGAAGTCGGAGCTGCAGAAGAGACACACCTGCACTGACCTGGGTGAACTGCGTAGCTACCTTGGCTTGCAGATCACCCGGGACAGAGCTCGCCGCACCATCACCCTGACTCAGTCACACATGGTGCAGCAGGTCCTTCAGCGCTTCGGCTTCCAGTTCTCCTCACCACAGGCCACACCTCTGGCTACCAGCCACTCGCTCTCAGCTCCACCTTCGGACGAGTCCGTAGAGCCGAGTGGCCCGTACCCAGAGCTTGTAGGCTGCCTCATGTACTTGATGACTTGCACGCGACCTGACCTCGCGTACCCTCTTAGCATCCTTGCTCGTTACGTTGCGCCTGGGAGACACAGGCGAGAGCACTGGGAGGCTGCTAAGAGGGTGCTGCGTTACCTGTGCAGTACATCAGGCATGGGGCTGGTGCTTGGAGGACGCGACAGAGTTGTCCTCACTGGTCACTCGGACGCCTCTTGGGTGGACGACCTGGCTACGCAGCGGTCGTCACAGGGTTACACCTTCAGCCTTGGCTCAGGTTCTGTCTCGTGGCGGTCCACCCGCTCTTCCTCTGTTCTCGGCTCTAGTTGTGAGGCTGAGATCTACGCCACAGCCATGGCTGCACAGGAGTTACGCTGGCTCACCTACCTGCTGACTGACTTGGGAGAGCGGCCTAGTTCTCCTCCAGTTCTGTACGGTGACAACAAGGCGGCTCTTGCCTTGTGTCAGGAGCACAGACTGGAGCACAGGACGAAGCACATTGCTCTTCGCTACTTTCTTGCTCGAGAGCTTCAGCAGCGCGGTCAGCTTCGGCTTGTGTACGTGGACTCGAAGGCCAACACTGCTGATATCTTCACCAAGGCGCTCCCGCCTAGTGATCATCAGCGGCACTGTACTTCTTTAGGCCTTGTGTCCACGTTTCCTCACTTGCTCACTGCTTGACATTCTTTGTACTGTACTTTATATATATCTTGTTGCTTGTTTGCTAGGTTTTGATCACTGTGTTGCTTGTCTTGTACTATATCTAGCACTGCATGTGAACTGGCCTTGTGGCCTTTACTTGTGCTCGGAGTGTGGTGACGTTGTGATCCACCCTGGGCTTTGCTTTGCTTTGCTGGACTGGTCTTGTGACCCTTTGTTCTCCCCCACTTTGCCTATGGGGGTGTGTTAAACTGTATCATGCTTGTAGGCTGTAGTGGGGTAGCCAATATGGGGTACAACCCCAACTAGGGTTTCCTATTTGTACCCAAACTTCTGCTAGTTCATCATTCTTGCCTAGTCATTCTGAGAGGGCGGGGGGAAAGGGGGTCCATCCAATTAAGAAAAACGCCCACGTGGCAAAAGGGAAGCAATTCGGGTCGATTCAATTGAGACAAACGCGATTTCCGCCGATGCGCGCGATCTCGCCCCCGCAATATCTGAAAACCCTTCAAAGAACGACAAGGCTGAACCTCGAAGAACAGGGTGCTTGCGAGACTAGCGACGTCTCAGAATGTTTTTGCAGTGGTCGTCAAGGTCCGGTTGGAACATCGCGCACGCATTGCGCTGGTCGCAACATTGCCTTGCTGAAAGAGGGTAACACGCGAAGCGAGCTGTGCTGCTCTTGTGCCATCCCAACCTTGCACTGCACGCGTGGTGTGCTCATGAAAAGCAATAGATGGCGCAAGGTTGGACCAGCGCAGGTGGCTTCAACCAGCCATGGCTGTGCATTGCCGCATTAGTGTGGAGATGTCATGACCATTGAATTCAAGCGAGGGATTCTACCGAGGTGAGAGTCCGCGTCTGTGTGGTAGCAGTGTGGCGGACTCAAATCACGCGTGCCAGACTGATTCGCGTGTCGCGGGCCCCACGGTCCGCCGCGGCGTTATGGCGTCACTGCCATCGCAGGACGTGATGACATCATCCCACAGCCAGGACGACGTGATGTACTTAGTATCTCGCGCGATCACAGAATCCACAAGCCACCACTGGTGCATCAGCCACTCTCCGTCCAGCACCTTCAAACCCCCCGACTGCATCAGATCGTCACAGCGGACGCCACACCGCAGCCGCCCGCCCTGTGTGTCGCCTCGCTTCTCAATCCACCCAAACTCGTTCCCCCTGTCATTCCCACCGCACTCCGTGCGCATCTCAATTCCACCGCCATGGCGACGGCGGCCTTCTCGGCGCTTTCCTCCACTGTGGCTCCCGCGCCCTCCGCCCTTTGGTCCGCCAACCTTACCGTGAGTTCCTCAGCCCTCTCCTGTTGGCGGCTCGTCTCGTCTCCTTTTCATCTTTCCCATTCCCCGTCGTTTCTCCGCTCTTCTCGCTTCATCCTGCTTTACTCCTCCTGGTTCCCCGACCCCAGGCGCCGTATCCGACGAACGCGCCGTGGCAGAACTTCGTGCTGGGACAGGGCGGCAACCCCGAGCTCATGACGCCATACGTCGTGCAGAGCGCGGAGGGACGCATCGCGTGGGGGCTGCCGATGCGCGACCCGCAACCCGGGTACATCGTGCAGGCGTTCGTCACCGCCCTCATGCTCTCCACGCTGCAGGGCCTCCCCCCCCACCAGCTCTCCGCCTACGACGACCTCTCCGCCACCCTCTCCTTCCGCCAACCCTCCTCCGCGCCCTCCGATCCCCCCGCGCTCGAGGTCCCCCTGGTGCGCGGGTCGCCCTTCTTGACGTTCATATTCCCCCCGGGCGGGGCCCCCATGACGCCCGTGCTGACGACGATCCATGCCATCACGGGCGTGGAGGGAAACGGCGACAGCAGCAAGTACCGCGTTTCGCTCAACAACGGCCAGGTCTGCCCTCCGCGCCATTTCCAACCGCGGGAAGTCTATCCCAACAACGCCATTCCCGTATCCCACTCATCTATCATCCCTCTATTTTCCCCCTCCGTGTGCTCTCAATCTTCCTGCAATTGAACCCCGCACTCACTGGATTCACCATCACCCCTATCCTCTTCTCCCCCCTTCCCCCCCAGACATGGCTGGTGTATCTGTTGTCGCCACTGGGAATGCGGCAGGATGGGGCGACCTTAGTGGCGGATGCGCCCTTCACGGGGACGATGCGCGTGGCGCTGCTGCCGGGCACCTCCCAACAGGACGAGGAGGCGCTGCTGGATGTGCACGTGCCTACGGTGCCGGTGGGGGGGAGCGCGCAGGTGGGCGCGTTCCGCATCAAGTACACCTGGCGCACCCAGCACTGGCGCGAGCCCGCTAATGGTGACACCGAGGCGCCGCTTCTCATGCTGTCACTGCCAAGTGAGTAGGGGCGTGGCGTGCTGTGACTGTGTTGCCATGTGTGCTGCCATGCCACCTGTAATGCCGTCACAAGGCGCCATGAGGGCAATCATACATCACCCTCGCCGTCTGCACGTCAAACTAAACCCCCTTCCCCTTGTTCCTCCCATTCACCATGGCCCCATTCCCCCCCATGAGCAGTGCACCGGCGCATGGAGATGAGCGCGCACAGCCCCTCCCCTGCCTCTGCCCTCCGCCGTCGCCGCAGCGGCTCCTGGTGCGGTGTCATGGGCACCATCCGCGGCCACCACAACCCCACGTCTGCCACCCCCTCCCACGCACGCAGCAATGCACTGTGGTCGTCCGTGCGAGCTGCGTCCGGCCCCGATGCATCAGTGCTTGCATACCCCACCATCGACGGCCAGGCGGTGGCCATGCAGGGGGCCGTGTGGCGCCTCAAGGTGCCCAAACGATCGTCCACGTGGCGCGCGGGGCCCCTCACGTCCGACGCACAGCTGCTGGACGAGCTGAGGGCCAGCCTCAAGCAGGACGTGGCCGCACTGCCGCCCCTCTCCTCCACCTCCACCTATTTCTTCGGCAAGGCAGCGGCGCGCGCCGCCCGCCTGGCGCTGATTGCGAAGCAGGTGCGAGATGATGACAGCCTGGCCGCCGTGCTCCCGCCCCTGCGGACCGCGCTCTCTGCATGGCTGGACGACACGTTCCCTGGTAACCGCCTGCTGTACGATCCCACTTGGGGTGGTGTGGTGAGTGAGGCGGGGTCGCGCGACCAGGGGGCGGACTTTGGAGCGGGCATGTACAACGACCATCACTTCCACTACGGCTACTTCATCTATGCCACTGCCACCGTTGCCAAGTTTGACCCTGCGTGGCGCGACCAGTACCGTGCGCCGCTCAAGGACCTCATGACGGACTACATGTCGCCAGAGCGCACGGCGGCGTTCCCAAGGCTGCGGCACTTTGACGCGTATGCGCTGCACTCATGGGCCAGCGGGCTGTTTGAATTCGGCGACGGGCGCAACCAGAGGAGCTTCAGCGAGGCGGCCAACGCATACTACGTGGGGGCGCTGCTGGCGTCCTTGCTGGGCGACCAGCCGCTCGCCACGCTGGGCGCCGCGCTGGCAGCCGTGGAGGCCCTGGCCGGGCAGACCCTCATGCACGTGCCGCTCGCCTCGTCTCATCCGGATCCATCCCTCTCACCCGGCTATGAGGCTTTGTTTGCGGACGACAACCGCGTGGTGGGCGTGCTGTGGTCCACTAAGCGTGACGCGGCGCTGTGGTTCGCCCCGCCAGCAGACATGGAGAAGCGCATGGGCATCCAGGTGCTGCCCGTCTCGCCCTTCCTCACGCACCTCTTCCCGGACCACGACTTCGCCAAGCAGCTCGTGGAGTGGGCACAACCCGTGTTGAGCGGCGCCGCCACGGACGAGTGGCGCGGCTTTGCGTGGGCGCTGCAGGCGTTGTACGACCCGCAGGGGGCCAGGACGAACATTGCTGCTCTAACGGCGTTTGATGATGGCAACTCCAAGACCAATATGCTCTGTTGGCTCGCTTCCAACATGCCTTAGTAGGCAAGGTTGCTCATACAGTATTATTCTGGTGTTTGTGCATGTACAGAATGGCTTACACATGGCCTTGATTACATGTGTAGTCAACATCTCTATTTATAATCATGGCGTTGCTTTGCCATGACTTGCCTCCGGTTTTCTTTCCCAAACACAGTAACCATCTCCAGAAGCAGCCACCTGGAACCCCGCCTTGTTGGGAGCCATGTCCCATCCCATCGCATCTCGTACGTCAGCCTGTGCACGGACCAAGTGTCCCTCCCCCTCTTAGATCCTCCTCATCTTCCCTCCATCACCCTCCCATCTACTCCCCCACCATCTCAGCCAGGCCGCACCTCTCCATTCCTTCCACATCACGTGCACCACAACTGCCTACTACTACCCAATACCTCCTCCATGCAGGGCCTCAGATTCGTTTTAGCCTAGGCTGAATCGTCAGTCTCTGCATGTTGCTCTTGGCTGACCCATCAGTGTCTTGTTTGCTAAAAACGGTGACTTTCCAGTGTTGCCATTTTTTAAAAAGCAGTTCAATCAGTGTCACCATTGAAAATAGGCTGAACTACATACAACAGCAAGCGTTCTATAAGATTAGCATTGGGAGAAGAACGGTACAGCTACTACTTAAGCCATGTCCTCGTCAAAATCATCTTCATCCTCATCATCGTCACTATCACTAGATAAGTCGAAAGCATCTACAGGCTTGGGGTGGTCTACTTCCATGGCTGCAGCTTTCCCCTTCTTGCTGGGTTCTCCTGGGGCGGAAATGGGGGAGTTTGAAAAAGGCTTCCTCTTCTTGTAGCTTCTCCAGATGTCCACCACCTCATCATACACTGGCTCGTGCGGCATCAGAGACAAGCACATCAAGTCGCCCAGTCTTGCATCCTTCAGCCCACCTCGAAGCCACGACTTGATGACGTTTTGGCGTGAGAAGCCCCTTTCGCACTCAACGGTGCTAAGGGGAATCACCACAACCGCCACTCACAGCTGCACGAGATTGGGGTAGCTCTCGCGCCAGTCTGGAGTCTTCAGGATCGCAGTGAGGCCCTCGTGGAACGTCCTCTCCCCCTTTGGTGCTGCATCAAGGATATAGCAGAACAACCGAAGCTCCTTCTGTGCCTGTCGCTTGTTGATTCCTGAAAGGCAAAACAGGGGTTTAGGAAGGGGCAATCAAGGCAGCACGAGTTACTAGGCTGAGTGTGAAACCGTGGGACTAGGGAATGGGCAAACGGCAGTTACCAGATGTAAAGCAACGGGGATGAACGGTGGTTACTTTACCTGGCAAAATCTCCTCTGAATCTTGAGCCTTGAACAGTGTCACCAGCGACAGCAACCACTCCACACATCGTGCATCTTACTCCGGCTTGCCCTTCGGCCACTCATCAGGCATGAACAGCCTAACACCAGACAGCGAGTCCAGGTCCCCTAGCCTCCTCTCCAGGTTCGCCACGATGCGTTCAGCAAAGTCGGTGCAGAGGTCAATGCATCCGTCGTGATCCCGAGGGCCGTTATACCCTTCCACGGGGTTCTCGTGGAGCGTGAAGGTGATTTTCTTGGGTCGGCCTTCGGAGTCGACTGCATCCAGAGTCACGTCGCGCTCCTTTCCAGGACCGTAGCGCTCGATGAAGGGAGACAGCCAGCGGCTCAAGCCACCGCCGAAGTCGTCCCCACAGTCGACATATCGACTCTCCAGGTGTGAGATCGTGCGCTTGATCTGAGCATGAAGAGAGATGAGATCCAACTACCAACGGGAGATCGGGGGGAAACACAGTGTCAGTATGGTAGCTTCGGCGACAACCCTAAATATATTCAGTCAAACTGAATTACCTGGCGCTGCTGGAAGGACTTGTTCAGGAGATTCAACTGCTCAAGAACATCAGCCAGAAAGTACATGAAAAAATGAAACCTGTACGAGGTGGCAAGCAGATATAGAGCGGAATGGTACTCCTTGAGGAAAATCACAACTGCAGGCCACACTGCAAGGATGCGAAGTATGGCATCACCCCGAGACAGCCACCGAACTTGGTGTATGCCCTGGACTTCCAGGCTTGTCTCTGTGAAGAGCTGCTGTAGGTCCATGAACCGTTGGTGCTTCGAGGCAGAGCATCCCAGAAGGTCAGCAGTCACGCGGACGAGGTCAAAGACCATGTCAAAGACTGGTAGATCTTCGGCCGCCTCCTTTGCGGCAAGCGCCTCCCTGCGATGGAAAATAATGGATGTATTAGAACTGAAACAAAGAATAAAGACAGACCGGGCAAGATGCAACAACACCTGCACCTGTGGGCGATGTAGTGACACGAGACGAGGCGTGGGATCCTTTCTCGTAGGCGAACCACCAATCCAGCTTGATTCCCCATCATCACCGAAGCACCATCGGTGCTGATGCCCAAAATTCTCTGCAGGTCGACACCAACTGCATGCAAGTGGGAGAGCAGCAGAATCAACAGGGTGGATGCGTCAGCTTTCTCCACAGTGATCAGTTGCATAAACTCCTGCACGAGCTTGTTGTCGCGGATGAACGTGGCGTAAACTATCATGTGCTTGCCCCTGCAGCGAACGGTGCTTTCGTCGAGACTGATGCCAATGAACGGGCTTCGGAGGATGTGCTCCAGTTGAGTCGTTTGCAGCCAGGTTGCCATGGATTGCACGAGTTCGCCATAGCCGTACCTGCCATTCAAAATCAACAAGGTATTAGCGAAAATGAGCATTCAGTGTAACAAGGACATATGTACTACATACTCACGTGGTGTAGTAGGTCCCGTAACCTTTCGTCGGGAATCCTTGAACCCCCTTCTGCGCCAGATACTGCACCAACTTCACCCATGTCCCCATGGGTGCGTCGCAACAGCTGACGAACAGAAGTACGTCCAGCAGTGATACAACACGGATCTTCTCAGCGTCGACGGCAGCGCGATGCTCGTTGATGCGAGGCTGCGAAGTCGCGACAGCAAGCAGGGCCTCCTGCTTCTCCAATGCCAGCTTGTGCTTCCGCGTCCCGGCGTGCTTGCGAAACGCTTGGGTCTGGACGTCGGTCGCACCTTTGCCGGTCCTGCCACATCGTCCCTTGACACCAGCATGCTTGGAGCAAAGACTGCACTTGAAAGCAGGCAGACCACGAACAGTTTTTGTTAGCACAAGCCACAGAAACCTCTCAAGCCACTTTGTTTTGTACTTCTCCAAAGCATCGGCATAGATAGCATCGACGATCTCTTGCACGTTGATGTTCAGAGAAGGGCGCACGGTGGATTCGGTGACGACAGGTTCAGAGACTGGAACGCTTGATGAAGACTTCAAGAAATTCAGCCGTTGCTGCTTGAGTTTGAATGTGCGCGGAGCTGACAATTTCAATGACGACGTCCCGACGAGAACTGTGTCGGAAACACCAGCAGGCGCAGGAACGTCTGCCCTTGTAGAATCCGGGCTAGAAGGCTCGGCGAGTGTTTCAGGAACGGGAGGATCTGGATCTGGTGGGGTTGGTAGTGGAGGTTGAATATGGCGGCCTAGAGATCTAAGAAGAAGATCGAGGCCCGTACGGGCTTCCTCGATGGCGTCAGCGTCGGCGCCGTCTAACTCCGCACCGTCCTCATCGTCAGAAAGGGCGTCGCCATGGCCAGCCATGGTGGAACAGCGAAGAGAGAGTGTGCCGAGCACTGTCTCGGGCTAGAGGAGAATGAATTGAAACCCTGCCGAAGATGGGTGTGGTGGGGTGGGCCTGCAGGAACAAGATGGGATGGGGGTAATCAAGAAGGTGTCAGGAAGAATAGGAGCGTGGCCTAGGCTTAGTAGCCTAGGCCCACACTAGGAGGTAGTAGGTTGTGCCCTAGGACTAGGGTTTGGGGTATACGAAGGAGAATTGGAGAAGTGAGAATGGGAATGATGGTTGAACTAGCAAGCAGCAGGATACATATAGGAAACCCTAAGGGGTTGTACTCACTAATGAGCACCCCACTGCAGGCTAGACAAATAACATAATCTGACACACCCCCATAGCCAAAGTGGGGTGTAATCAGCACACGTGAGAAGTCACAGCAATAGTTCACAATTATCAGCAAAGCTAGTGGCAGTCACAGGAGGCCAGTGAGGAGGAGGAGGAACTGTGGAGGGAGAGAAGAGAGGAGGCGACGACTGAAGTTGCAGACACACGGGCACCAGGAGCACCAGGCTGCAACCTCCTCCAACTGTCTCACTCCCCCCTACACACACCCCCAGGGTCACCACTCGCTCCACGCCCACATCACCCCCCTAGCGCCACTCCCTCGTCTCCCACACATCCACCCCCGCAGCGGCAGCTGCAGCAGTGGGAGACGGAGGAGAAGGAAGGGGCGACGCACACGGAGCACCCCCACACCCGCCACCCCCACACCCTCCTGTCCAGGGGACCCAGGGGGGGGGGGGGGGGGGGAGGGCCGGGGCGGGAGAGCGCACGAGGGCGCAGGCAACCGCGCGTGCAGAGCAACAGCGCGGAGCAGGTAGGGTAGAGCGCACGAGGGCGCGGGCAACCGCGCGTGCAGAGCAACAGCGCGGAGCAGGTAGGGTAGAGCGCACGAGGGCGCGGGCAACCGCGCGTGCAGAGCAACAGCGCGGAGCAGGTAGGGTAGAGCGCACGAGGGCGCAGGCAACCGCGCGTGCAGAGCAACAGCGCGGAGCAGGTAGGGTAGGGCGCACAAGGGCGCGGGTGAGACTGAGCGCGACTGCACAGGGTCCAGGAGCGGCGTCGCGGGCAGCTGCATGGTCGGCTGCTGCTGGTGCGGTTGCTCCAGGGGCGGCGACTGAGGTTCTAGGGGCGGCTGCACCAGGGGCGGCTGCTCCACGGGCGGCGTCGCGGGTACAGGGGCGGCTGCACCAGGGGCGGCTGCTCCAGGGGCGGCGGCGCAGGTCCAGGGGCGGCGGCACCATGGGCGGCTGCTCCAGGGGCGGCGTCGCGGGTCCAGGGGCGGCTGCACCAGGGGCGGCGGCTCCAGGGGCGGTGTGGCGAGTCCAGGGGCGGCTGCACCAGGGGGGGCTGC